ACCCCCCCTGGACCCACCCCCGGGGTGAGTTTTCACGATCAAAGCACCGAAAAAACGATGTTCGCCCGAGCAAGATGCTCCAGAGCCCGGGGAAAGCACCGACCTTCGCTCCGCCGCTCCCTCCTCTTCCTCCCGCAGCGCCGGGACCGACCCCCGGGAGGGACCGACACCCCCCCTCCCCCCCCCCGCCCGGTATTACACCGTCCTGCGTGGGCAACGGGGGCTGCTGCTGCTCGCTTAGACAGAAAGAAGACGAAATTCTATTCGTTTCCATGTTTTATTGTTGTAAACATTAAAATTTGTCTTTCTCAAAGAAAGAGTTATCAGGAAAGGGGGGGGGGGGGGGGGGGGGGGAAATTAATCAGCGTTTGGACCTGTCATACACCATAAAAATAAAAAGAAAAAGGCAGCGACTCGTGTGGCATGCCCGAAATATATATAAAAAACCAAACTACACAATATGGAAATATTAAAAATATTACTCGAACATGAAATAATATATTAACCGACAATTTTAGACATTTAAAAAAAATAATATGTAACAAAACAAACCCAAAATTCAAAGTGCTCAGTAATTTCCAGGGAGTTATGTATAGTATAAGCACTCTGGAAACAGTCAAAAGCTGCTGCATGCAAGATTTGTTTCGCTTTAGACAACAAAATAATCAAGATATAAACTTCTTTTTTTTCTTTTAATCAACATCAACAGTACATACAACACTTACAAACAAGGAATGTCGGACGGTGTTTACAAACACTATGTGTCCCTTTGGGGAGGATTGCGGGTTTTGTCACACTTGTGCCCACCTATTTTACAATTGAGAAAACGTTTGAAGCTTAGATAACTACCAGTCTTTATAAAAGCTAACAGACTACATAGTGTCTGAAATACTATTTATAGAATATAGACATTACTGAAATAGCAAGTGCCTATAACATTGTCACCCTAGAATCGTCATGCTTTCCTGGTACGGGGAGATTTAATTTTTTCTTTCTCTTTATTCTCTTTTTATTTTTTTTTTTCCTTTTTTTTTTTTTTTTTTTTTTGCAAACACGTTTAACTTTTCTTTTTAATTATTTTTTTTTTTAGAATTGTTTTCCGTATTTCTTCATAAATAGGCACAGAATAATTTTTAAAAAGCCAAACTGCATCTGATAAATTTACAAGCCTTCGCCTTCTTTAATGACATGCCACCCACGCAACATTTAGGGTTTGTATATATTACAGCTTTCTTTTACAGCAGAAAACTTTAGGAGGGTGAGACTCGTGGGTCACCTTAACACTCTGTCTGTCACCGCGAGAGTCTGAGCTGCGCACCCGGCGTCGCCAGATACGTTCATCGTTTTAATCAGAAGTCCTTAATAATAAATTCATTTATAAGCCGATAATAAAAAGTTTATATACCATGGTTATTTGTCTGGTCCATGATCTGCATCCGTGATGCCCCAGAGCCAAAATGCCCCTTGGCGTTCTGCCGGCGGGAGGTCAGCGAGGCTGTTGGGACGGGACGCTGGTGCCCAGAGCTGCTGCTTCGGGCCCAGGCGGGTTCCCCTTCAGACAGGCAAAGTTTCTCTTCAGTTCACTGGAAAGTGTGTGGGAAGAGTCTTAAAAAGGTAAAGTGTCCAGAAAAAGTTTGTCGATTATTGCTGGCGGTGGCACCAAATCTTCCAGTTTCAGGTAGAAAATGCGCTGCAGCCCCTGCGTGCAAAGCGTGCGGAGTTCGGGGAGCTTCCCCAAGAGTTTGGACAAATAGTTGGGGCGATTCAGCCCCCCGTTATTGAAAGTCACATGGTCTTTGAGACAATTTACAATCTTGTTTTGCAGTTCTTCCACCCTCTTGGGTTCTTTAAGCCCGTGCCTCTCTGCAAAAGAGAAGGATGGGGGATGTTAGGGGTCAGGGACGGCAAAGGCCGTGCCTGGCGGGGCCGAGCGGAGCGGGGAGGACACCGACCTGTCACCATGGCCAGGGCAGCGATGCAGGAGAAGGCAGAGATATCGATGTTCATGTTTTGCAAGTTGGAGGAGAATTCAACAATGGAATCGATCCACTCCCCAAAGCCACGGACACACTGCAACCGGTGCAGGACCACCCCGTTGCAGAAGATCAGCTTGCCTTCCACCGGGTTGGACCTGGAAGGAATGTGACAACCCCAAAATGAAGAGATGAATGAATGGGTGAGAAAGAAAAAAATCAGAAAGGAAGAGAAAATGAAAGGAAAGGAAGAAGAGATGAATAAGAAAGGAAAAAATAGATAGGAAGAGGAAAAGAAATAAAAGGAAGAAGAGATGAATGAATTAGAAAGAAAAAAATAGGAAGATAAAAAGAAACAGAAGAGAAGGAGAAAATTAAAGACTAAAAATAAAAAAGAGAAAGAGGAGAGGGGAGAAAAGGAGAGAGGGAAATAAAGAAAAATAAAATAGAGATGAGAGAGTGAAAGAGTAAAAAGAAAAAGAGAGCAGGGAAAAGAAAGATTAAAAAAAAAAAAAGAAAAAGAAAAAGAGAAGATGGTGGGAGAAAAGCTAAACAACTAATTACTTGAGCAGCAATAAATGAAGGATTTAAGAGGCACCTAATTACCGAGGAGTTAATAAAACGCAGATCAGTGGACCTTGAAAGGGTCTGATTTGGTCCTCGCCCACAGTCCCGGCGCTCACCTGTACGCCAGGCGCAGCACGAAGAGCTCCAGGAAGGCGGATTCGAAGAGCAGGTCCTGGTCGGGTTTGGGGAGCTCGGTGAAACCGGGGATTTTTTCTGCCCATCCTCGGATGATCTCCATGGAGCCGGTCAGGAGATCATAGAACTGCTGGATGTGCTGGGTGTCGTCTCCGCTCATCTGGTAGTCGGGATTAGCCTGGAACTGGAAATTCAGTTTAAAAAGCGCTCGGTGAGGGTCTCCCGGGCAGAGAACCGGTGACACCGGCAAAGCCCCGCTCTAGCCGGGGAGGGGGTTTCCGTAACAATTTGGATAATAATTGGTGGCGGTTTCGGCTGAAACCCAGGACACAACTAAACCTCTCCCTGCC